GACCACGCAGTGCCCCCCACCAGCCGGCGCAGGGCCCGGCGGGACCAGGCTGATGGAGGGTGGGAAGAATTCAACACCCAGGAAGCGCAAGGATTAGCAGCACTCCTCAGAGCCGGGCGTGGGGCAGGGTGATGTGGGGCAGGCCCCCTCCTGTCCCACCTGCTGAGAGGCCCCTCATGCCCCAGGTGCAGCCCCCTGCCAGCCCGGCCCTGGCCAAGAGGCTCCCTGTGCTGGGTGAGACCACGGCCCAGGGCGGCTCTCTGAGGGTGAAACGCTTGCGCCTGTGCTGCCTGCGCCCAGGGACCCCGAGGGGCCGCTGTCCCTCCCACCCCAATGGGAACCGACCCGAGCACACGGCCACGGGGGCTCTGGCTGAGACACTGAGCTCCAGCCCCAAGCGCCTGCCTGTCCCATCCCGTCCCGGGGGCTCCCGCGAGCGCTCTCAGCCCTGGCAGGCCCCACGGGAGTCTGGGCAGAGCCGGGGTGACCAGCTGCAGCTCCCAGCATGCCGTGCGCCTGGGATGGGAGATCTCTGACCCCACTGGGCGCTGGGGCCTGTAGTGCAGCCTGCCCCTTATCGGCCCCCTCACCCCCCAGCAGAGCCCAGCCACCCATCCGTGCCGGGGGCCCACAGCGGAGCCGGGGGGGCCAGAGAGACGCGCTCACCATCTGGAAGATGAAGGTCACGGTGCCACACACACGCACAGCCTTGTTAAAGCGCAGCTCCAGGTACTGCCGGGGGAGAAGGGAGAGGCAAGCGGGTGAGCAGGGGGGGCTGCATGGGGGGGGCAGACAGGCTTTGTGTACAGGGCTCGCTTCTGCCCCCTTCTGGGCCCACGATGCCCGATCCTGCTCTGGCACCCTACAGCCCACGAGTCAGTCTGTGAATTGGCTGGTGATGCCCATCACTGGCCCATTTCCCTGCCCCCCTCCTGTCCCCTCACCAGCCCATCACCCTGCCCCCAACCTGCCCCCTCACCAGCCCATCACCCTGCCCCCCACCTGCCCCCTCACCAGCCCATAGCCCTGCCCCCCACCTGCCCCCTCACCAGCCCATCACTCCGCCCCCACCTGCCTTCTCACCCTGCCCTCCACCTGCTCCATCACCCAGCCCATCCACCGCCCTGCCCCATGGCTCTGTCCTGCCCGCCGGGCGGTCACCTCGTAGGTGCTGGTGAGGTGGAGGCGGTAGAAGACAGGGATGAAGACATGCGCCGGGATCAGGAGGCCCAGGATGTAGCAGCAGCCGAGGAACCAGTACTCGGTGCCGAAGCGGTAGATCTCGGCCGGCACGCCCAGGATGGCCACGGCTGACTGGAAGGTGGCCAGCAAGGACAGGGCCACGGGCAGGAAGCTCATGCTGCGGTTGGCCAGCAGGAACTCCTGCACCGTGCGCTGCCGGCCGCCGCTCAGTGCGTAGTACAGCCCGATGGCGGAGGAGAGCACCAGCAGCAGCACGAAGACGGTGTAATCCGCCACCGTGAACGCCATGGCAACGCTGCCGGCCGGCTGGCCGCGCTACAGCCTCCTGCGCCCGCCGGCTCTGCCCAGGCCGGCCATGCCAGCTGCGCCGGCCCCGCGCTCGGCTCTACCTGCCCCAGGCCATGCAGGGGCTGCGCCAGCACCACTCACCGGCACCCCGCGCCTCCGGCACGCGCCTCGGTCCCAGCCACCATCGCGCACAGCCACCGAGCTGGAAGAGAAGAGAGGGGTTGGTGAGCAGCGAGGGGGGGCAGCTCTTACTCACTCTGCCCCGGCCCCAGTGCCAGGGGCTGGCACGGCACACGGGGAGGGGTCACATGCCACAGCCCAGCCAGCTGCGACAAGGTGCCCTCGGCCCAGGGCTGCCCCCTCACCCACTTCCCACGGGCAAGCAGCCAGCGAGGAGATAGTGCAGCAAGGACCTTCGCTCCGCTCCGACTAATCTCAGCCCGTCTCAAGGCCCCGACTGCTCCGGGCTGGGCTGGGCACCCTGCAGGGATGGCGGGGGCAGAGGAATGTCGGATTAACCATTTCACGGCGGCGGAGCCGGGCCTCTCCCTCCCATCCCCTCAGCGGGGAGCTGACACCCGCCCAGATTTCACCTCTGCAGCCCCACTGGCGGCAGCTCCTTGGGGCATTTCCAGGGCACTGGGCCTGTGCCTAACCTGCCCCCTCCTCAAGGGCGGCACTGTGGGGCCACATCTCACCACGACTCTCCTCGGGCCGCAGCCGCCCCAGCCCTGCGACGCCGGCCTGAACCTCGCCGGCGCCACAGGCACCAGGGAAACGCTGCCAAAAAACACAGGCAGCACGGCTGCAATAACAGCCCTGCCCCGCAGCTACAGCACGCGCCAAACCTGCTAATCCCAGAGCCCCACCCATTCCCCTCCCAGAGCCAGGGAGAGAACCCAGGAGTCCTGGCTCCCAGCCCCCTGCTCCAACCACTAGACCCCATTCCCCTCCCAGAGCCAGGGAGAGAACCCAGGAGTCCTGGCTCCCAGCCCCCTGCTCCAACCACTAAACCCCACTCCCCTCCCAGTGCCAGGGAGAGAACCCAGGAGTCCTGGCTCCCAGCCCCCCCCGCTCTAACCACCAGCCCCCACTCCCCTCCCAGAGCCAGGGAGAGAACCCAGGAGTCCTGGCTCCCAGCCCCCTGCTCCAACCACTAGACCCCACTTCCTTCCCAGAGCCAGGGAGAGAACCCAGGAGTCCTGGCTCCCAGCCCCCCTGCTCCAACCCACCAGACCCACTGCCCTCCCAGAGCTGGCGAGAGAACCAGGAGTCCAGGCTCCCAGCCCCCCGTTCTAACCCACCGACCCTCTCCCCGGCTCTGGGAGATGAGGGGGTCGGGTTGGTTAGAACAGGGGGGCTGGGAGCCCGGACTCCTGGGTTCTCTCCCCGGCTCTGGGAGGGGAGGGGGTCTGGTGGGTTAGAAACCAGGAGTCTGGGCTCCCAGCCCCACTCCCTGACCTATCAGACCCCACTCCCCTCCCAGAACCCAGGAGTCCTGGCTTCCAGCTCCCTTGCTCTGTGAACCCTCTGCCACCTTGTGTAGCATGCCCCAGAGCAGGGATGGCATGGCACGGGCCTCACCCCCAGGTCCTGCTCTGGGCCCCTGGCTGGTCCCTCTGCTGACCCCCCACGAGCTGCTGCCTGGCCCCTCACTACAGAGCCCCCAAAGCCATCACCATGGCCAGGCTCCAGGGGTGTCAGAGTCTCTGCTCCCTGGGCTCCCGTGTGGAGTGACTGGCTGCCCTAGAACTGCCGGGCTTTGGTTTCCTTGCCAGTCCCTCCCCGGCAGGCACCGCTCAGTGAGCTCCCTGCGGAGAGGCTGGGCTGGGCTCCGTGGAAGCAGACACCCGAGAGCCCAGGGGCGAGCATTTCCCCGGGTCACGGAAGGACTCTAAGCAGCGGCTGCTGGGAGGGGTGGGGGGGCGGGGGGGCTGGCCCTGCCCTGGGAAACATTTCCGGCTGGATCCAGCCCTTCCTAACAGTACTCCAGATCCTCACAGCTCTGTCATCACCCCCACCCCACCCCGGCTTCTACGTGCTCCGGCACTGTGACCAAGGGGAAACGTTCTGTAATATTTTTATGACCCCTATGTGTGCCTCAGTTTCCCTATATTTTGCATGTTTACCCAGAGGGGTAAAAGGAGTGTGTGCTCTCAGGACAGGCTGGGAGACTGTCTCCTGCCTGTCTGAGCCCGGATGGGTCATTGCAAAGGCGTGGTCGAGGCGATCCCATAACACTGGAAAATCCAAGGAGACAATGACAAAGTGCATCAGAGCTCCTGGGGTGAAGCAGGGGGCCTGGAGCCCCAGAGGTTCAGACTCGGGAAGAGTTGAGGCCAAGTGAGACCCCTTGGGGGTCTGGCCCATCGAAGGGACAGTTCCCAAGCTCGGGGTAGCTTGGGGACAGCACACTAAAGACAATGGATTTCAAGGAGGCGACTTCAGCAAACTCAGGGAGTTGGCAGGTCAGATCCCCTGGGAAGCAAGTTTAAGGGGAAAAACAATTGAAGAGAGTTGGCAGTTAGAAAAAAATTAGAAAAGTCCAGGCACAAAACGAGATCAAACTAGCCAGGGACATAAAGGGTAACAAGCAAACATTCTACAAATACATTAGAAGCAAGAGGAAGACCAAGGATGGGGTAGGCCCGTTACTCAATGAGGGGGGAAACAATAACAGAAAATGTGGAAATGGCAGAGGTGTTAATGACTTCTTTGTTTCGGTTTTCACCAAGAAGGCTGGTGGTGATTGGACGTCGAACATAGCGAATGCCAGTAAAAATGAGGTAGGATCAGAGTCTAAGATAGGGAAAGAACAAGTCAAAAATTACTTAGACAAGTTAAGTATCAGAGGGGTAGCCCTGTCAGTCTGGATCTGTAAAAAGCAACAAAGAGTCCTGTGGCACCTTATAGACCGGGGGTCGGCAACCTTTCAGAAGTGCTGTACCGAGTCTTCATTTATTCCCTCTGATTTAAGCTTTCGCGTGCCAGTAATACATTTTAACGTTTTTAGAAGGTCTAACCACCAGCCCCCACTCCCCTCCCAGAGCCGGGGAGAGAACCCAGGAGTCTATAATATATAACTAAACTATAGTTGTATGTAAAGTAAATAAGGGTTTTAAAATGTTTAAGAAGCTTCATTTATAAATTAAATTAAAATACAGAGCCCCCTGGACTGGTGGCCAGGACCTGGGCAGTGTGAGTGCCACTGAAAATCAGCTCGCGTGCCGCCTTTGGCGCACGTGCCATAGGTTGCCTACCCCTGTTATAGACTAACAGACGTCCAATCACCACCATCTGATGAAGTGGGTATTCACCCACGAAAGCTTATGCTCCAATACGTCTGTTAGGCTCTAAGGTGCCACAGGATTCTGTCACTTTAGACAAGTTAGATGTCTTCAAGTCACCAGGGCCTGATGAAAAGCATCCTAGAATATTCAAGGAACTGACTGAGGAGATATCTGAGCCATTAGCGATTATCTTTGAGAAGTCATGGAAGACGGGAGAAATTCCAGAAGATGGGAAAAGGGCAAATCTAGTGCCCATCTATAAAAAGGGAAATAAGGACAACCCGGGGAATTACAGACCAGTCAGCTTAACTTCTGTACCCGGAAAGATAATGGAGCAAATAATTAAGCAATCAATTTGCAAACACCTAGAAGATAATAAGGCGATAAGTGACAGACAGCATGGATTTGTCAAACCAACCTGATCGCTTTCTTTGACAGGGTAACAAGCCTTGTGGCTAAGGGGGAAGCGGTAGATGTGGTATATTTTGACTTTAGTAAAGCTTCTGATACTGTCTCGCATGACCTGCTCATAAATAAACTAGGGAAATGCAACCTAGATGGAGCTACTATAAGGTGGGTGCAAAACTGGTTGGAAAACCAATCCCAGAGAGTAGTTATCAGTGGTTCACAGTCATGCTGGAAGGGCATAATGAATGGGGTCCCACAGGGATCGGTTCTGGGTCCGGTTCTGTTCAATATCTTCATCAATGATTTAGATAATGGCATAGAGAGTACACTTATAAAGTTTGTGGACGATACCAAACTGGGAGGGGTTGCAAGTGCTTTGGAGGATAGGATTAAAATTCAAAGTGATCTGGACAAACTGGAGAAATGGTCTGAAGTAAATAGGATGAAATTCAATAAGGACAAATGCAAAGTACTGCACTTAGGAAGGAACAATCAGTTACACACATACAAAATGGGAAATGACTGCCTAGGAAGGAATACCGCGGAAAGAGATCTAGTGGATCACAAGCTAAATATGAGTCAACAGTGTAACGCTGTTGCAAAAAAAGCAAACATCATTCTGGGATGTATTAGCCGGAATGTTGTAAGCAAGACATGAGAAGTGATTCTTCCGCTCTACTCCGCACTGATTCGGCCTCAACTGGAGTATTGTGTCCAGTTCTGGGCATCACATTTCTGGAAGGATGTGGACAAATTGGAGAAAGTCCAGAGAAGAGCAACAAAAATGATTAAAGGTCTAGAAAACATGACCTATGAGGGAAGATTGGAAAAATTGGGTTCGTTCAGTCTGGAGAAGAGAAGACTGAGGGGGGACATAACAGTTTTCAAATACATAAAAGGTTGTTACAAGGAGGAGGGAGAAAAATTGTTTTTCTTAACCTCTGAGGACAGGAGAAGAAGCAATGGGCTTAAATTGCAGCAAGGGCGGTTTAGGTTGGACATTAGGAAAAACTTCCTAACTGTCAGGGTGGTTAAGCAGTGGAATAAATTGCCTCGGGAGGTTGTGGAATCTCCATCACTGGGGATTTTTAAGAGCAGGTTGGACAAACACCTGCCAGGGATGGTCTAGACAATACTTAGTCCTGCCCTGAGTGCAGGGGATGGGACTAGGTGACCTCTCGAGGTCCCTTCCAGTCCTATGATCCTGTGTGTCTGTGACAATCCCCATTCCCCAAAGCCAGGCCCTGTACCCGGCCAACCTCTGCCCACCAATACAGATTAGCCAGCCAGGCAAGAGGCAGGAGACTGGCTCGGAACCTGCCACAGCTCGGGCCTGGCCGGGCTCAGTTGCCTGGGGCGTCCCGGAGCGGGGAAGTGACTGGGACGGAGAGGGCTATGGGGGTCACGGCAGGAGCTGGGGCAGCAGAGGAGTGAAAGGTGTCCAGGGTGGGTTCCCCACTCTCCCTGGGGCTCAGGAGACCACGGGGTGTGGTGCTGGCCCCAGT